CTTGAAGCGTTCGGGAGAGGAGTCTTGAAGAGTCGTGGAGTGCCTTGGGGGGGGTTCTCGGGCCGTCTTGGGCCTATCTTGGGCGTCCAGGAGCGGTCTTTCGGCGACTCGGGGCCCGCTTGGGCCGTCTGGGGAGCCTCTGGAGGCCCTCCTGGACTATTTTGGACCTCCCCGACCGCCCCGTCCCCCCCATGGGGGGTCGGGGCAGCTGTTTGTGGGCCCCGGGCCTGCCCCCCAGGGATATATCAATCTCTCTCTCTCTCTCTCTATATATATATATATATGTGTATGTATATATGTATGTGCATATATCTATCTATGTATATATATATATATATATATATATATATGTATATATATATATATACATATGTGTGTATATATATATATATATATGTGTGTGTGTGTGTGTGTATATCTGTGGCGGACAGATCGGCGGGCGAATCCGCATTTTCCTGGGCGGGGGTGGCCACCGGGCTCGGCGATGGAGGGGCGGTGCAGGGTCGGTGCGGTCCCCACCGGGCCTGTCCCCTCTGACGCAGCCCCCGGACGAACGCCTGGCGCCGCACTTCTGGCACTCGAAGGAGTAGGGGGCCTCATGCGAGCCTGGCCCCTGCCCCCCGCGATTTCTGAGGGGGAGGGCGGGTGCACTTCGCTCGGGCGCTCCCGAGCGAAGTGCACCCCGCCCTCCCCCTCAGAAATCGCGGGGGGCAGGGGCCAGGTTCGCATGAGGCCCCCCCCCTCGAGGGAGAGACGCCCGTGGCCGCAGCGGAGAGAAGTGCTGCGTCCCTGGCCTGCAGCGGACGGCTGCCGCTACAGGCAGGCAGGCAGGAATAATCTGGGAGGGCACCGGAGTCCAGGCACGGGAAGGCGAGGCGGGGAGTTTGCGGTCAGACCCTCCTCCTCCCTCCTCCATCCTCCCTCCTCCCTCCTCTCCCCTCCCCTCCTCCTCCTCCTCCTCCTCCTCCTCCTCCTCCTCCTCCTCCTCCTCCTCCTCCTCCTTCCCCCTCTCTGTTCTCCTCCGACGTACAGCTGGACCTCGGACAGAAGAACATCCTTCAAGAACACGAGGCCCTCCGCCAGCTAGAGCACACACACGACATTCGAGGGCATCTCCTCCCCAGGATCCCCACGAGAGCATCCAGCAAGCACGAGCAACATCAGGGTGCCCTCCCCGAGCCGCCCTCACGAGGATCGTGGCCTCCGAGGGGGTGGCTGCAATCGACTACCCCCCCCCCCCCCCCCCCAGGGGGCCCCCACAAGAGCCCCCCAAGAGGCCCCAGGGAAGCCCAAGACGCCGCCGAGGAGCCCCAAGACGCTCCCAAGAAGGCCCCCAAGAGGCCCCCAAGACGGCCCCCAGAGGCCCCAAACAGCGCTCCAGGGCCGGCGGAATGAGCGAAGCGATTCATAACATCAGGGTGCCCTCCCCGAGCCGACCTCGATCTCGCACCCCGGTCCGACCGCAGCCACAACCACCGCCCGAGGGCTCGCTCCTCGGGGGCCTCGGCGGGCGATCGATGGCTATGTGGATACACGTGCGCCCCGCCCGCGGAGCGCCGCGCGAGCGGGCCCGTCGGCGGCTCGGCCCTGCACGGGGCAGGGGTGCGCAGACAGTGCACCGGCCAGACAGTCAGCAGCGCGGGTCGTCGTCTCCTCCTGCGCCTCCTCCCCCCCTCCGCGGCCCCCTTCCCTCCGTCGACTCCTCCGCTCCCCTCGCCTCCTCCGCGGCCGCCACTCGTGATCGGTCCACGTTCACGCTCCTCTTCCCCCGCCTCCCTCTTCCCCCTCCCCCTCCCCCTCCCCCCTCCCCCTCCCCTCCCCCCCTACCCCCCTCCCCCTCCCCCTCCCCCTCCTCCTCCTCCTCCTCCTCCTCATCCTCCTCTCCTCCTCCTCATCCTCCTCCTCCCTCCTCCTCCTCCTCCTCCTCCTCACCTCCTCCCTCTCTCCTCCTCCTCCTCATCCTCCTCCCCCTCCCCCTCCTCCTCCTCCTCCTCCTCCTCCCCTCCTCCTCCTCCTCCTCCCCTCCTCCTCCTCCTCTCCTCCTCCTCCTCCTCCCCCTACTCCTCATGGCGGATCCCGGACACCCGGAACCCGACAACGATGCCACCTCTTTGGCAACGCATCCCTTGCTTCCGCCACCCTCCGCCGCCTCTCCGCCGGTCTCCGCCGCTGGAGGCGACCTGGCTTTACCTCCGCTGACCTCCCGCCGCCCTCCGCCGAGGAGTAGATGGCAACTCCGCCTCGTCCTCTCGTCCTCCTCCTCCTCCTCCGCCTCCTCTCCTCCTCCTCCTCCTCTCCTCCTGCCTTTCCTCCTCCTCCTCCTCTCCTTCTCCTCCTACTCCTCATCCTCCTCCTGTTTTCCTCCTCCTCCTCCTCCTCCTCACCTCCTCCCATTCCGCTTCCCTCGTCCTCCTCCTCTCCTCTGCCTTCTCCTTCCCTCCTCCTCCTCATCTCTCCCTCCTCCTCCTCCCTCCTTACTCCTGCCTCATCCTCATGCGCTCCTCCTGCTCCTCCTCCTCCTCCTCCTCCTCCTCCTCCTCCTCCTCCTCCTGCTCACAGGCAAGGAAGGCGTTTTTTTGTTTGGAGCGCCCCACGTGGGCAGACCTGTTTCTTCGGAAACGGGCGCACGATCTCAACGGGGGAAGGCTGGGAGGGCGGGGAAGGGGGCAGATCATGGGGAGGGGGGGGCATGAGAGGGGGGGAAGGGGAAAGGAGGGGGGGGGGGAGAGGAGGGAGGGGAGGAGGGAGGCAGGGGTGGGATGGGGAGGGAAGGGAGGGGGGGGAGGGAAGGGAGGGGAGGAGGGGAGGAGGGAGGGGAGCGGAGGGAAGGGGGGGGGGGAGGGAGACGGGAAAGGGGGGGGGAGCAGGGAGGGCACCACGACTCCGTCGTGCGGAACTCGACGCACTGCCCTTCCCTGTCCGGCGCTCGCAGCGTCCGTTCCAGTGAAACTGCGCCGGCGTGCCCGCGGCCCGCCGAGGTCAGCGGGGGTCGACCCACCGAGCGGCGGGTGATGGTGGGAGGAGGAGGAGGAGGAGGAGGAGGAGGAGGAGGAGGAGGAGGAGGAGGAGGAGGGGGAGGAGGAGGAGGAGGAGGAGGAGGAGGAGAGGAGGAGAGGAGGAGGAGGAAGAGGAGGAGGCGGAGGAGGGGGAGGAGAGACGAGGAGGAGGAGAACGGACGACGATCACAAGGAGCAGCAGCAGCAGCAGCACGACGAGGCCGAGGGGGGCTCCTGGTGACGAGGGAGGATTCGTAGGAGGAGACAGGGGGAGAAGCGGGGAGGAGCCGGAGGAAGGGTTGCCTGGCAGCTCACATATGGCGGGGACGGGGAAGGCAAACGAGGGGAAGAAAGCAAACGGGAAAGGAGGGGGAGGAGGAGGCGGAGGAGGAGGAGGGGAAGGGAGGCGGGGGAGGAGGAGGGAGGACGAGGTGGAGGAGGAGGAGGAGGAGGAGGAGGAAGGGAGGAGGAGGAGGAAGGAGGAGGAGGAGAGGAGGAGGGAGGAGGAGAGGCAGGAGGAGGAGGAGGGCGGAGGAGGAGGAGGAGGGAGGAGGGAGAGGGAGAGGGAGGAGGAGGGAGGACGAGGAGGAGGAGGAGGAGGTGAGAGGCAGGAGTTGGCAGCGGAGGAGGACGACGAGGCCGAGGACGCACCTCTCCGAGGAGGCCACGGGCCCCAGCGAGGCAGCCGCAGGCAGGAGCTGCGGCCTGGAGCTGCTCTGCTTCGTCTCCACTTTCCTCAGGTTCAGGGCCTCTGCGGTACAGTCGGGGCGTTGACCCAGGGAACCCTCAGTCAGGAACGAGGCCCCTTGCTTCCATAAGTTAAACTTCGATCTGCCATCGAAGACCTAAGGACTACACGAGGCAAACTGTGAAGCAATCGAGGAGCACGGAGCCCCTCCCCAACGAAAAGGGTGCCTTCTTCAGCGCCCCGACTGTAGCAGGCGCGGGGCACGAGACGAGAGGCTGAGAACGTCGTCGTGGTCATCATCGCAATCCCTTATCATCTGCATGATCACCACCACCACGACCATCATCGTCATCAGTAGCAGCATCGTCATTATCATCATATCAATCCTCATCCTCATCCTCATCATCATCATCATCAACAGCATCAACAACATCATCACCATCAGCAGCAGCAGCAACATCATACGTAATCGCCATCATCATCAGTCACGCCAGCATCAGCATGATCGTCCTCATCATCATCAGCAGCATCAGATTCATCGTCATCACCATCATCAAAATCAGGAGGAAAATCATCGTCGTCGGCAGCATCAGCATCAGCATCATGATCAGCATCCTGAGAGTACCATTCATCGGCATCAACCTCATTGTCATCCTCGTGATGATGGCGATGCTGACGCGATATATAGATTCGCCATCGCCATCACTATCCTCAGCACCACCCTCATAATCAGCAGGCGCACCCTTATCATCACCATAAGCACGGGCCTGATCATCAACATCCTCATCTGAAACACCCGTAGAATCTGAATCGATATCAGCAACATGATCACCAACAACATCATCCGCAGCGCCATCCTTGTTATCACCACAATCATCCTCATATCCTCCTCAAATCATCATCATCATCAGCATCATCATCATTACCCTCACCATCACCATCACCATCATCGTCACCACCAGCATCATCATCCTAGTCCTCCTCATCATCATCAGCATCATCAACATCGCCTTCAGCACCATCATTCTCATCACCATCAGCATCATCATCGTTGTCGCTACCGTTGTCGTCATCATCGACATCAGCAAGCATCGGCATAACCACCAGCATCATCATCATCAGCAGCATCGTCACCATCATCATCGTCGTCGTCCTCAGCCCCATCATCACCAGCTCGCAGCTCAAGCACACAACAAGCTGCTCAAGAATTCCTGGCATCAAGAATGAGGATCGGCAAGTGCTGCCGGAAACAGTGACCTTGCGAGTGTATATACAAGCCCCGCGCGGCCCACATGGCAGCGGCAGGAGACATCTCAGCCAGCCCTCTGGGCGGCCAGAGGGGCCCAGAGCAGTTCTCGGAGACCGCCCCTGCGTCCAAGATCCTCGAGTCCAAGCTGGACCTAGGCCCAGCTTGGCCAGAGAGGCCCAGAGTAGTCCTCGAGGCCCCCCAAAAAAAACACGAGGGCTCGCGTGGCAAGGACGGGTCGCTTCGTCGCTGCCGCCTACAACGAACTCTTGCTCAGCGTGCCGTGGCGTCGGCCCCGGCGGCACGCTAAGCCCTGCGAGCTGGTAGCGTGCCGACCTCCCTGTGTGGGACTCGCAGACGAAACAACACCATCATCATCATCATCATCATCATCATCATCATCATCATCATCATCACCATCATCACCACGATCATCATCCTGTGCCTCATCAGCATCCTCCTCCTCTTCCTCCCCATCCTCCCCCCCATCATCATCATCATCATCATCATCATCATCATCATCATCATCAGCAGCAGCAGCAGCATCATCAGCATCATCATCATCAGCATCAGCATCATCGTCATCAGCATCATCAACAGCATCATCATCAACCTCATCAGCATCAACGCCATCATCACCAGCATCAGCACCATCATCATAATCAGCAGCACCAGCATCATCAGCACCGTCAGCATCATCATGATCAACCGCAGCATCTTAAATCACCCGCATCATCAACAACAGCATCACCATCATACAAAGCAACAGCATCATCACCCTCATCAGCATCAGCATCATCATCGTTGCCACCATGATCATGGTCAACATCATCGTCACCATCGTCATAAGCAGCATCAGCATCACCATCATCAGCATCGTCATCAGCATCTGCATCATCAGTATCAAAACCCGCATCCGCATCATCATCAGCATCGTCATCATCATCGACATCAGCAAAATAATCATCATCGTTCTCAGCATCATTGTCATCAGCATCATCAGCAGCAGCATCGTCATAATGATCATCAGCATCAGCAGCAACATCATCCGCCGTATCAGCATCATCGTCAGCATAATCGTCATCAACAGCCGCATCCTCATCATCGCCATTGTCACCATCAACGGCAGCATTGTCAGCATCGCCAAGTGACCCAACAGTAATACCCATACCCAGCCCTCGTCCTCCTCCTCCTCCTCCTCCTTCTCCTCCTCCTCCTCCTCCTCCTCCTCCTCCTCCTCCTCCTCCTCCTCCTCCTCCCCGCCCTGACTCCATCCCTGCGCCCCTTATCCCCGACCGTGCTCCTCCACCTCCTGCCATCCAGCTCTTCTCCCTGCCGTCGCTTCCACTCTCCCTCCCTCCTATCTCATCGCCAGTCGTCTACTGCCCTGCCTCTCTGCTTCCTCCTCCCTCCTTCCCCTCGTTGCATGACTCTCCTCGTCGTCCTCGTCTGTCTCGTGCTCCTCGTCCCATCCTGCTGATCCTATCAATCGCTCCGTCGTATCAGCATCCTCAAGTTCGGCTGCGCTTACGATTCCACCTCTCCACGTACAACTTGCCCTCCTCCTCCTCGAGCCTCTTCCTCCTCCTCCTCATCCTCCTCCTCCTCCTCCCCTCCTCCTCCTCATCACTATCAGCATCACCATCATCATCACCATCGCCATCGCCATCATCATCACCACCACCATCGGCATCGAAAGCGTCAGCAAGACCATCAGCAGCATCGGCATCAGCATCAGCAGTAGCAACAACATGTCATCAACATCATCATCATAATCATCATTATCGTCCGTATCGTCATCGTCATCATCATCATCAACATCATCAGCATCATCGAAACCGGAAGAATCGAAAGAGCCGGAACCGGAGGAACCGGAGCATGCCAAATTCTCTCGAAATCGATCCCCGGAACCCTCCTAGAGTCCACCTGGTGAAGTGTTTCACCCCAGAAAACAGTTGTTGTTGACGCTCCTGGGGCCCGACAATAACTCCAACAGACAGGAAAAGACTATTACCCGAGACGTGCCCAACCCTTTCGCCACGCAAGGCGACTATCTTTACAAACGCTCCATACGCAAGAACACATTGCGATGTGCAACACTCCGAAATACTTCGCCTAATCTTGTCGGGGCACGCGCGTCGCGCACCTGCGCAGGAGTGGGCCACAAATGGCAACACCGTGCGCTACGTGACGTTCCAGCGCTCTTCGCTCTGGGATGCAACAGCGCCGCACGCTAAATGACGCGACGGCGCAACGCGCCATGCGAGTGCAAAAATTGTGACAATTGCGCAGTTCGCAGATCCCAGAAGCCGCGAGGTCTCAAATGACCTGCGCTGCCCTCACCTCCGCCGTGCCTCCCAAGACCCTGTTCGCAGCCCCCCACGGAACCGCGAGGTCTTGAATTGATCTGATCGACGGGAAGATCGGCCCTGAACTCTCCCGCCGACTTGATGCCGCGCGGGCGGAATTCGACAAGTTGAAGCGAGTGTGGGGCCATTCCACGCTGACGCAGTTAAGGAAGCTGGAGGTGTTCAACGCTTGCATTCTCAGTAAACTGTTGTATTGTCTGCACACGGCCTTCCTGAACCAGGCGGAGACGAAGATTCTCGACGCATTCCACGTGAGATGCTTGAGGCAGATACTTCGCATACCTCACTCGTACATTAGCCGCGTAACAAATTCAAGTGTGTTGGAGCAAGCAGGCGCTGCGCCACTGAGCAATACTATGCTGAATCGTCAGCTGCTGCTCATGGGGCATATTACCCGGAAGCCAGCTGATGACCCGGTCAGGTGCCTGGTCCTACGCCCTTTGTCATGCCAGCTTATAGCACATAACTTCAAGCGAAAACGGGTGCGCCCCCAGAAAACTTGGATCGAAGCTGGTTTTGCGCACGCTGTCCGGGCCGCGGGGGGTGAGGAGGCCCTGCCGCTGCTCTGGCAAGATAGCGTAATTTCTGCCGCAGCCTGGCGCGCAACCGTGAAGCGGTATTGCGACGCATTGTAAGGCCACGGCATTTGTGCTCATGTGCTTTGCACTCAACTTTGTCTCTCTCTCTCTCTGCCATCCGCTTCGCTGGACCTCCCAGGAGTCCACAAAAAGGGCGACAAGTGTGCAGTCCGCAGCCACCCATGGAGCCACGAGGTCCCGGCTGAATGCGCGCCCACCTCCACTACGTTGGACCTCCCAAGAGCCCACAAAACGGCGACAATTGCGCCAATCGCAGCCTCCCACAGAACCACGAGGTCTCGTCTGGATGCGCGTACACCTCCATTCGGCTAGACCTCCAAGGAGCCCACGAAAGTGGCGACACGTGCACGGGTCGCAGCCACCCAAGAAGCTGCGAGGTCTCGTCTGGATGCGCGTAAACCTCCACTTTGGTGGACCTCCCAGGAGCCCACGAAAAGGGCGACCGTTGCGCAGATCGCAGCTTCCCTGGGAGCCGCGAGGTCTCGTTTAGGTCCGCGTGGCCCCCGACTCCGCCGGACCACACGGGAGCCCACCACGGTGGCGACAGTTGCGCACTTCGCAGCCACATAGAGCCGCGAGGTCTCGTCTGGGTCCGCGTGGCCCCGACTCCGCTGGACCACCCAGGAGCCCACCGCGGTGGCGACAGTTGCGCAGTTCGCAACAACCCAGGGAGTAGCGAAGTCTTGGCTGCATGCGCATACTCCCCTACTCCGCCGTGCTTCCCAGGAGCCCACCAACGTGGCGGCAAGCGCCTGGAAGCGCGTACTCCCCTACTCCGCCGTGCCTCCCACGAGCCCGCGAGAATGGCGACAGTTGCGCAGTTCGAAGCCAACCAGGAGCTGCGAGGTCTCGGCTAGATGCGCGTGCTCCCATACTCAAGCGTGCATCCCGGGAGCCCACCAAAGTGGCGCCAGTTGCGCAGTTCGCAACCACACAAGGAGCTGTGAGGTCTCGGCTGGGACCCCGCGTACGCCGCCACCCCGCCGTGCCTCCCAGGAGCCCAAAACTGGCGACGGCTCCGCAGTTCGCAGCCGCCCAGGGAGCAGCGCAGGAGGAGGAAGGAAGAGGGGGCAGGAGGAGAGGCAGATGGAGTGAAGGGGAACTGGGACACACAAATAAATAGATACAAATGACAAGATTCCTGATATTGTTACATATTTTCTGGGTTTCTGTCTTCCCCCCCACTTCCTATATTTTCCTATATTTTCTCGGGAATCGACAGTTAAATGTGTCTGACAACCAAAAACACACCTCACCGAACGAAGGCCCTCGAACCTGCCCCCCCCCGCCCTTCCTGCTGGTGGGCACCGGTGCTGGGCCGCCTTGGGCTCCCAGTCGAGTTCAAAACGACGACGGCGACACCGACGGCGACGGCGACAGCAGCGGCCACGGTGACGACGACCGCCAGGCCCGGGCCTTGTCCCGCAGGTCGCCCGCAACGAGCCTCTCGCGGAGGTTCATCTTGGCCATCTCGCTGACGTCGCCGGTGTAGAGGCCCTGCGCCAGAGAGGGGAAGCAGCAGCAGCAGCGGCGAGGAGGAGGGCGAACGAAGAAGAGGAGGGCAGGATGGAGGGAGGAGGGGGGGAGAAACAGGGGAGGGATGGGGAGGGCCGAGGAGGAGGGAGGGGAGGGTGCGGGAGGGGAAGAGAGGAGCGGAGTAGGAGGAGGCGGAGGAGGAGGCGGAGGAGGGAGGGAGGAGGAGGGGAAGAAGGAATGGAAGCGGGGGAGGAAGGCGCGAAGAGGGTGAGGGTAGGGGAGGGGAGGGGGGGGAGGCGAGGGAAGGAGAGGAGGAAGAGGATGTCGGAGGTGGAGGAGGAGGAGGAGGGGAGGAAGGAGGAGGAGGAGGAGGAGAAGGCATGAGGTGGCAGCACGCAGGAGGAGAGGAATGGAGGGGGGGAGGAGAAGGAGGGAGGGGAGGGGACGGGGAGAGGAGGAGGAGGAGGAGGAGGAGGAGAAGGAGGAGGAGAAGGAGAAGGAGGAAGAGGAGGAGAGAAGGAGGACGAGGAGGAGGACGAGGAGGAGGAGGAGGAGGAGGAGGAGGAGGAGGATGAGAAGGAGGAGAGGGCGGCAGCAGCATCAGCAGGAGCAGTGGCGAGGAGCATGAGGACGACGACGAGGGGATGTAGAGTGCGGTGTCGGGCCTTCGCCGCCGCCACCGAGCCTCGTCAGCCAACTCCCCGAGTCCCGAGTAGGTCCACAGAGTGTCGGTCAAAAAGAGGAGGCGGAGGCGGAGGCGGAGGAGGCGGAGGCGGAGGCGGAGGCGGAGGCGGAGGCGGAGGAGGAGGAGAAGGAGGAGGAGGAGGAGGAGGAGGTGGACGACGACGACGACGAGAGGGGGGCGGTAGCAGCAGCAGGAGCCCCGAATGGGTCCACAGAGTATCGGTCAAAGAAGGCAAATCCGCTCACAGTCGGGTGCCGAGCCCTCCTGGGACCGAGGCCGACTGTTCGAGCCGCGCCGAGGCGCCGAAGGGGGCCCTTTTCCCCCTCCGTTCTGCTGGCTGGAACCCATGCTGGGCCACCTCACCCCCCCGGCCAGCTGCAGCTTCGCTCCCTGCATCCGGCTGACGCCCCGGTGGGGAGTGCCCTGCCCAAAGACCCCCCAAATCGCGTCCGAGCAGATGGGGTCGGAGAATCGCGCCGCGTCGCCGATTCATCGCCACGTCGGCGATGCATCGGGGCCGTCAGCGTGGAGCAACTCGGCGTCCACATCGCGCGCCGAACCGCGGATGCATCGGCGATGCGGCGCGATCCTCCGACCTCCTCTGCTCAGCCCTCACTCAAGAGGCGTGGACGAACGTCGAGTCGCCCTCTGGTGGCTTTGCTCCTCCCCCTCCTCCTCCTCCTCCTCCTCCTCCTCGTCGACAGGGCGCAGCTGCTGAAAGGCACATCGAGAGGCCGAGGACCCTCAGGACGTGGCAACAGCGCCCGACAACCCCGAGCCTCGAGGGACGCATCCCCAGACCCTCGCCCCCCCCGCCCCGAGGACGCATCCACAGACGTGCGATGTCTCTGGTTGTTCACAGGGGACCACAGGGCCGAACCTAAGCGGTGCTCTTCGCTCTCGTGTTGTCCTCGTTGTCCGTCGCTCCTGTCTTCCGTCCGCCTCTGCAGGGGGGGGGGGGGGGAAACGAGGCCGAAACGAACAAAATGGCCCAAACAGGGGGCGGCGGTGATTCGCCGTAGGCGCCTTCGAGAATTGCGGAAACAGGGCCCACAAAGAGCGCTTACTTTCTGCGTCCGTGCCACCTGCGGAAGAGGCAATAGGAGGATGGAGAGGACGAGGAGGAAGAGTAGGATGACGCCGACGACGACGACGACGACGACGACGACGACAACGAACAGACCGACCGACCTGTCGACCGACCGACCGACCGACCGAAGAGGCCTCCAGCAGGTTTTTGGCGAAGTCGCTCGCGTCGGCGGGCGGCTTCTTCTTCATGAGCTCCACGCTGGCGCCGCAAACCTCGTGGCGGCGACGGTCGGAAGGGCGGGCGGCGTGCCGGGCGAGGGGGAAGAG